GTGTGTGTGTGTGTGTGTGTGTGTGTGTGTGTGTGTGTGTGTGTGTGTGCACCCCCTGTTGTGTGAACCCAGCGTACTGGAAAGAACTAATCACCAGTTGTCATAGTGATGAACTTGCTCTCCGTTTGCCAATTCGTTGTCTTTTGTTTGCTTTATGCTTTAAAKTCTGATCTTTTCTTGTGGAATCTAAAGCACGCGTTGTCATTTTGTGTGGACCTAATTGGTCTGAAGTTTTATTGGGATAAACAAACAGGGTGATTTTAATTTTTACTTTCAGTCCAAACTTATTTACCACTGTGTTATAAATGTACCTTTTATTGTGTGAGCCTCTCTGATGTATTTGTTGTGTTTTGTCACAGATGATAAGCTGCTGTAACAAAAAGAATCAGTGTGGTAGATGGAAATCTGTGCACATTGTTGTGTTTTTTATGTTGTGCTGAACGTTTTGGGGAATTACATGGAAGCTGTTTCGTCCAAGAGCGCGTCATCCAGAAAACTGCTTTCCTCATTGGCTGCTGTGAAATCTGAATCACAGCTAAATCGGCTTCCTGTTTTGACAGTTTTTGCAAAAACTCATTTAACATTCCCAGCACTCAAACCCTGATTCACCTCTGGAAACTACTTTTCTCACTCATATGAAATGAGTGGGATTATAAAATCCCAAAACATTCAGATTAAATAAAATATTTTTTAAAAATGGGGGAAATAGTCAAAGTTTGTGACATTTTAAGTTTGTCTTTTGTTTTTGAATCTTTATTGGTAAAAGAATTGGGTTTCCTTGATTCCAAACATTTTTCACATTTACAACTCTGACTTTGATCAGATGCAGACAACAAATGTAAAAGGAGCAAGTAATTAGATGGGAGAGGCAGGAAGAACGTCATAATGACCTCATAACAAAACCTTTTCTGTTGCTCAAGTCTTTTATACATTTTAACATGCAGTACTTTACATACATCTTCAGTAGGAGTGCTTTTGATACTGATGTTAGAATATTATTAATTTTCTGGTCATGTGGTTCAWGATAATGTCAGTCAAAGGATAAAACAGGGCTCTAACGTTTTATTTATTTTCAGGTTTGATTATTCTTGGACAACTAAATTGAAWGTAACTTTAAGACTTTGTATTAATACTTTTAATTAACTAAATTACCTCAGTTTATTCTCCATCACTGGCAAACTCCAAAAGGTTGGTAAATATTTTCTAAAACTGAAATTCATTTTTCAAGCAGTTTCAAGGATTCGCCTCTAGATGGAAACATGTCCCTATTGAACAGTGGATTTAATTACTTATTTATTTCTCGTATGTTTTTTTTTTCATACCTAACAAAACTCTTTTTACTATAGTGTGTACTGCAACAACATAGGTTCGTTTAAGGGGATTATTAATGTTCATTCAATTCAGTTTGTTGAACTAAGCCTTGCATTAGAGCATTGTTAATATGTGAAAATAGTGTAAAAAGTACAGTTTGTTACATCTCATACAGACATCTTTTAAATTCCAGTGTGTCCTTTAAAGATTGTGTCATGTTTTAAAAACTAAAATCAAGCTTTTAACTGGAGAAAAGCATTCAGACTGCAAAAMCACATGAACACAGTGCAATGTGTTTCAATTCATTTATTTATGTTTACAACTGAGAAAAACATATCAAACATTTATATATGAC